TAGATGAAGCTTATGCTCTACATTATGCTGTCGCTTATTGTGATCCCAAGATTGTTTCTGAGCTTCTTGGTCTGAGTTTGGCTGATGTCAACCTCCAAAATGCTCGGGGTTACTCTGTACTTCATATTGCAGCTATGCGTAAGGAGCCATCCATTATTGTATCACTTTTGACCAAGGGGGCTTGTGTATCAGAAACAACATTGGATGGCCGGACTGCTGTTAGCATTTGCAGGAGGTTGACTAGGCCAAAGGATTATCATGCCAAAATCAACCTGGAGCGGGAATCAAGTAAAGATAAGATATGCATTGATGTCTTAGAGAGGGAGATGCTAAGGAATCCGGTGGCTGGAGATGCATCATTTTCTTCCCTCATACTGACTGATGACTTGCAAATGAGACTGCTCTACCTGGAAAACAGAGGTAGTGTTTTGGTGTTTGACTGCTGATATGTTCCTCTCTAATGTGGCAAAGGTGGTATTTACTAGTTTTCATTGTAGGCCTTAAGTCTAAAAGCTTGTTCTCTTTTGGTCAATGGTTTGAAGTTATCATAAAGTTCTGTTTTACATCTATCCCTTGGAAATTTAGATTGTATTTTGTCAAAGTGAGAAGAGGAGGAGAAGCAAAAGGTGTTGTATATGCATTACTTTTTCCTATTTGCAAGAAAGGGAAGGAGATGAAGCAAGTGAAAGGGCATGCAACTCCTCTAAGCCCATTCTTCGCTGCCCTTTGAATTCAAGGGGTTGTAGGAGTTGAAGAGCTACAATGTGACTGCCTTAAGTGTGAAACTAAAAGTTAAACCGAGAGAAAAACAAGGGGAATATAGTTAAGTTAAAAAATAGAGTTATTTTGTTCATTAATGCATCTCTATTCCTTTTGCTTTCCTCTTCATTACCTCCTCAACCCAAGCATATTGAGTGAATTATTACAATGTTTTTGTATGTTTGCTCTTTTGACGGGTACCAACAGTCCTTTTGAAACTTCTAAAGCTTTATTGCTCATCAATTGAACATCAAATTTTTTGTGCTGTACAGATTATCTGTACAGTATTATTTTCTGTGAAATTTGTTTAATGAATGAGTGATTTTTCAATCAGAAACTTATGCAAGTTAAGAAGACCTTATTTCTTTCTGTAAAGTACATTGAAAATGGTTCACACAACTAACATCCTGTGAGTTACAGAAAAAAGTTGGATTTTTGTTGGTAGCCTTTTCTTATAGTTCTTTTTCTTGTTCCACCTTGACATTTTAACATTTTATCAGTTATATGGAGACCGCTTGTTTAGCCGTTCATGATTATGTTATGACTGCATCACAATGAGTTTTTGATTCGCATCAATAGTTTAAAACAATTTGATTTGTATGGTTGCATAATTTGCATTCTGAGTTATTTATCCTAGTGCAAGATGTTCAGATCTAAAACAATTTTGTGATTTTAACACGCTATTATATTTCAGTCTTACTTACCATCATATGTAATTTTACCTATTCGAAAAATCTGCTTTTATAGTTTAGTAGCCTGTTTCACCCAAGTTTTTTCATTTTCTTATGCTTTTTTTTTTTAATGTTTTATATGATTGGAAATGACTAAAGAGATTGGTTGATCTTATGTTGCAGTGGCATTTGCCCGATTGTTCTTCCCTGCTGAAGCTAAATTGGCCATGGAAATTGCAAATGCTGAGACAACATCTGGGTTTGCTGGTCTTTTAGCTTCAAGAGGTTCAAGCGGGAACTTGAGGGAAGTTGATTTGAACGAGACACCGTTGGTGCAGAATAAGAGACTCCTTTCAAGAATAGATGTGCTATCAAAAACAGGTATATGCAAGCTCTAAGCATTCATCCCTAATCTAGAAACTGGTGCATTCATTTATTCAAAAAAATCTTGGTCCCTCCAACATCCATTTTGTCTGGAAAGTTAGGAGGCTGTTCCCATTTACAAAGTGATTGGGACCTTACAGCTTGATGTAAATGTGCATGTGCTCATCCTTGTGAATGAAAGGAAAAGTTATTACTCAATTGTGGGAGTGATCAAATGCAGACAAAAGGAAATGGTAGTTGTTCATCTGCGCCTCACACACAAACATATGCTTATGCTCCCTCTACAAACATGGTAAAATGATAAAAAGTAGACAGACAGGTTTGTTGAATCCGCCTTACTGCTTTTATGTCTATTGGAATCTCTGAGAGTCCCCACTCTTTTAAGTCTTTCTTATCTGGTTATATTTGTTAAGTTAAGCCACAATTGACCGATTTTATTTTCCTTCAGAAAGTTCTGACTGTGTATTTAAGCCCCTAAAATTGAACTAGGGAGTTCAGTTTATAGCTTCTCTGACATGGGGTAAAGTTACTTGACAATGCCAATGCCAATGGTGATAAATGTCTAGCAACAATGCTGCTGTTTTTAGTTTGGTGGTAGAAACATGATCAGTAATGTTGTTCATGACAGTGTGGCCTCTATATTTGGTGAACTTGCTGCATACCCATCCAAGAAACATTACATTACTAGAGATCATATTTCTTTCAATAGTTTTTAAGAGTTTGCCCTACTACCGTTTATTTTGGAGGTTCTCAGAAACCACTACTACATTTCCGGGGGGTTGTAAAGTCAAAGACCCTTGAGCTAGATAGTCCACTTCCATCCTTTGCGACTCTTTATCTTCTTTTGTTAACAGCTGTTCTTTAATTTGTCATGCTGACAGTTGAGCTAGGACGGCGCTATTTCCCTCATTGCTCCCAAGTGCTGGATAAATTCATGGAGGATGACTTGCCTGATTTGTTCTATCTTGAAAAAGGCAGTGTAGATGAGCAAAAAGCTAAGAAGCAGCGCTTCGTGGAGCTCAAAGGTGAAGTTCAGAAGGCATTCAGCAAGGACAAAGCTGAGCTCCACCGCTGTGGTTTGTCTTCCTCATCATCTTCGTCTTCGTTGATAGAAGGTGTAAATTGCAAAGCTAGGAAACTGTAATGACATGTTCAACCCTGTAAAGGTTATGTGAAATCTACCCTTAAGCATAGTTTTGTACTTTTGTGTGGAAATGCAGCTGACACCCTTGAGCCATGGTTTTGTATGCAAGTGTTTTGAGGAGCAATTTTCTCTTGGTGCTAAAAGCTGCAGGACTCAGAGCGAATCCTTTGGATAATTCAGAAGTTAGACCAAGGGAAAATTGGTCATGAATGCTGAATCTTTGTGCAATTTAATTATGAAGGTGTGAGGTAACGCGATAGATAGTGACACTAATATGCTATCATGTAGGTTGAATTTGCCTTGCAAATTTAGCCCGAAGAAACAATTCCATCACCAACGAATTTGATTATTATGTGTGTGGGATTGGAATTGCCGTCAAATCAAGATACAAAAGTCACTCTGAAATTTTCAACCAATCCGTCATGAGCAGTTTTACAAGAAAAGAATTAGATGCTTTCACCCAACCAAAAAAACAAGGAGAAAAGAGAGAGAGATTGGATGGTTTGACCAGTTGTATGAAAACAAACACTAAAAGAATCAGTCAAAACCGTGTTTATCAAGGGGGATTAAAACAGGACAGAGAAGTGTTAAAAGAGTCTTGAAACCGTGTTTAATAGTACCATTGGAAGTGGAAGTTTATTATGTCTCTTGTTAAAGTGTTTTAACTGTCAACTATTATTAACAGTTACTCTTAAACGACTAAAGAGCTAACAGTAGATTTGATATTAACAACTAAAATTTATCCATATAGTCCCAGAGTTTTCCTCGCTATTAGATTTAGGATTTAAATCTTGTGAGTTCTCCTTGCTGTTAGATTCAGGATTCAAATCTTGTACTTGACAGTTAGGAGTGAAAAGGATGTGAGACGAGGTAAGACGATACAAAAAATTTAAAAATACTGATATTAACAAATTTAATATCATTTCGTATATGTTGTTTTGGTCTGACCATCTTCAAATTATGTAAGATAAAATTTTGATATGTTAAAATGTCTTTCAAGAAAATGCATAGAAATATAGGTTGACTATGACAAAAGTACAAGTATTAATACTCAGTTCCCCTTACTAACATATAAAGTTTGAGTAACATCAATTAGATATATATATTAACCTTCACATAAGTATGTGTCTTGTTTTAACTAATGAAGAAGATCTCAATTTAACCATTAACATCAAGTAATTCATTCTGATAAGACAACTTGAGGAAGTAAAATGGCAAAATGGCCAATATTTTAGGTGCAGAATTACCATTTTTTCTCTTGCACCAAACCACAGAAAACACCACCCATTCATCTCATTCTTGATCACACCAAACATGATAAAAGGTGCATCACATAATTTCCATACCACACAAAAGTGGAATTCCTTCACATCCCCCCAAATCTCAATGAACCAATCAATCTCTTTGGCTTTGAACTTCAACAAGCTATGTGCCTTTACTTCTTTTCCCCCACTTTCTCGTATCTTTGCCTGATGGAATGCGAAATCTAACCATAATCCAACACCAACCACAAGCCCCACCTATCTTCCCAACCTCTCCCACCCTCTCCCACACCGCTAAACCACAAGAGTGGATCCTAAAATAATCAACTTACAATCGACATAATTCGATATGAATTGTTGATTTTACATTTTAATTTCAATAAGGCAAAATTTCGGAAAAAAAAATGTTTATATGCAATATGAACAATACCAACAAGTCAAGAAATAAGTATTTAAATGTGTGATAAGGAGATGTAGATAAAAAGTTTTGAATTCGAACTTTTTAACTTATATTATGTATATAAAAAAAGATATTCAAATGTACTATATTCATATAAGCAAGCTCAAATGAAAAATGACTACGCGATTATATGTTAGATTGAATTCAACAATGTAATAGAACTCTTTTCGTACTACACGGCAAGAGAAAGTCAAAATGTTTCTAAGGTTCAAATTAATCACAACCAGCGCCTTCTGATCTTAGATCTTGAATTGGCCTCAATAGATGTAATTGCCATTGTGGGACAATGGAGATGGAAAATCATCATGCCAATGTATGTATTTTTTTCTAATCGCCCCCACTAAATGACTCCAACTCTCATATCACGGCTCTCAATTCTCTTTCATGAATCATACATAATTCATTGCAGTGGTTGGGAATTGGGAGATTTCCATACGACAAACCAAAAGGCAGTAAACCCATTTGTTTCTTCATCAAAACAACAAAACAAATCTCTTTCATTGATTTGATTGCACCCCACGTTTCTTCACGGGTTGATTAGGCCAGGCTCCATCCCCAGCTCATGCCCTTTTCATTGCTTTAAATTCTTTTTGGCTTTTCTACTATCCGTCTTGCATTCCTTAGGCCCTGAAAGAATAAACCAGTTGGCATTATCAATTAACTTCATTTTGGAGTGGAATGTGACGCATTTCTGCTAATTCTTGGAATCTGCTAAAAGGGTTCTCTCTAGTTTTCTGTAAGACCTGCCCCCAGTTCTGTACCTCTCTTGCTATTTTTCTCCGTTTGTTATGATTCCTGATCTAGTGAGTTATGTGAGTTTTGATGTAATTCCTTTTGAGTTAATGCATTTTTGGTTGATAGGGATCTTGTATATGGTTACGTTTTGCAAATATGTTCCCTTTTTTGGTTCCCATTTTGTTTAAAGTAGAAATATGTGATCCATGTGGTATTTCTAAGTTTCAATTTTTAGTCGAAAAACGAGTCTTGGGATATTTTCATTTCCTGTATTTTTTGATTGGTAGATGAAGAATTTATAGAAATGCTGCAATGGTAGAGAAAGAAGAAGAAGAAGAAGGGAAAAAAAAAAACGAATGATGCTTTTGCTACTTTGACGATATTCAAATATTCGTTAATATCTCAGCTCCTTATATATTTATTTATTTTGATAATTGTTATAGATGTTCAGTTAGTCCAGTTTAGGAGATTTGAGTGGCATCACTTTGGAAATTTGTAGAGAATATTAAACTCTTTTCTGCTGGATAGATACAAAATCCTCAAAGAGGGGCAAACCTTACTTAGCTACACTTGCACTTTACCAGAGATGTAAATGGATTACATTGCCTTCAGTGAGATTGGATTATAAGTGTCTCTTGAAGTTAAAATACTATGCTGAAGTTTATTAGACAAAAATGTCAAATAGGAAATAGAAGGGATGCATGTAAATATTCCCGCATTCGTGCTGGGGGCATTTGCCTTATAAAATCTGCTTTGAATGTGTGCTGACGCTATTAGTAATGTTTCTGCACTCTGTACATGGACCATATGGGCTGTATTAGGAGACATATTTGATTGTTTCACCACCATTGGTTTTGTTGGATTATGACTTGTACTTTGTCAGCCTTCAAATTTATCTATATCTTTTCAACAATTCATAGGCAGATGATCTGATACTTGTGAGGTGCATTTCGAAGTTTCAAGAGAAGGCTGCAAAAATTCTGTGATTATCCGTGTGCTTTTCTTTTTATTGTTAAATATTTTATCTGCAATGTAACACTAATGCTGTCCTTGTATAATATTTCTTAATCTTCATTTGGTTAGTTGCTTGTTGTTACAAATGTTTATGCATTTTTGTTGATTAACGATATATCTGTTATACTACACAATTGAGTTTAGTTTTTTCTTTCTTTAATCATCTTTATCAGCAAAGCAACTGAGATTCTGGAGATCAACTAAAAGCTCAATTTTGTTAATTAATGCATGCAATATAGTGCCATCAGCACCTTTCTATACATTATTTTAGCTTCATTCATGTTTCATAAGCATGGCACCTTGTGGGAAACAGACATCTAACTGCACCTTTTGCACATGCTTTAAACACACTCCATGCTAACAGTCATTTTTCCCAATTTCCCTGTAGGAATCTGGGTGGCTATCATATATTCTGGTGATTATCATCATGTTCTAGTCAAAGATCAACAACTCTATCATTTTGATTAGTGTAATGGCAATTTCAAAGAAGACCTCCATGACATTGAAGTCTTATCAAAATGAGGCTGAGCTGCTGGTGAAGAACTATTTATTGTCGGACCCTGTTATCCCATACTCGTCAGTCCTTGGTGGCATACTTGCTTTCAAAGTGGTACATTATTGACTCTTCCTCGTGTTTTCTTCATGGAGCAGAAGTGAATTATTTCCATTGATGAAGACTGTGATTGGTGAAGATGCTGGCACATCCTTGCCCCCCTTTTTTTTATTTTTAATGAAGTGAAGGGCAAATAGTTTTTGCTGGATGAGCTTAGTTTCACACTTCATTTTTCATGCATTTTGCCTCCATTTTCCCTTTTTCCCATCCAATTAAAATATTGCCTCTGGACCTCTACAGCTCTATGATCTTGTTCAGTTGATCAGCACTTTTTACTTCAGGAGCTACAACAGCCTTACAAAAATCCAGCGGATTGAATGGAATAACCGGTAGCATTTTTGTCCATTTGTTTCTTTTATGATTTTCTCATCTTTTGGATGATTCTCACAGTCTCAATATCAACATTTTTGCAGTGGTGTCTCTACTCTTCATGCTGTTTTTATTTCTTTCATGTCCTTGTACTTTGTATTTTGGTCTGATCTGTTCTTGGATGAACATCATCCTGGCCTCATTACACTCCGAAGCTCGCCTTTATCAACTTTCACTTTAGGAGTAAGTATCTCTTCTATATGAGTATATTCTACCATTTATCTTGTTTCACCATAACATACGTTTTCCTTTGGTTTTTATAATTGAGTTCTGGTGATTTACTTAAGTGTACAACAAACCAAAGTCACATACGTGTATGCGAGTTTTAATTTAATTGGGTGTAGTTCTGATGCAAATAATGAGCATAATACTAGTTTCAGTTAGTCACAACCTACAGTCTGTTGCACAATCTCAAACAAAGCTCTGCTTCACTGGATTGTGTTTTATTTGCTGTAGTTTTCAGACTACAAATAGTGGCTTCACTTTTTAAAATTTTTTTTTTAAACTTTCGGTCTTAATTAGTTACATTGGCAATTTTGTAATGAGGGCACATACTATTTTGTCTCTTCAGTAGAGAATTTTTCTTTCTGAAGGCCATCATGGACCTAGCTACCTGTAAACTCCTTCAAATCTGTTTATGTCAAAGTTGGTGTATTCATACTCAAGAAATTCCCCGTTGTTTAATTCTCATGTTGCATCAAAATACATGAGTTGAAGTTTCAGAAAAGGTTTATAATAGGCAATTTCTTTTAAATCAGTTAAGCGTTACCATAAAGAGGGACTGAATGTAAATGATAAAGGTCACAAGACCGATACACCTACACTAAATCTAACTGCTTTCTTTCTCATCTTATTTGGAGAAAGGAAGCTCCTATCAAGCTTTATCTGTATTTCATCTAGTGACTTCAATCTTCTTCTCTTACTTTCTGCTTTTCCTCACCTTTTTCTTATCTTGTAATGCTTGACAGGTATCTGTTGGTTATTTTTTAGCAGACCTTGGCATGATTTGTTGGCTATATCCTTCTTTGGGTGGACTTGAGTATGTAAGTATACAGCTCTTTGCATAAGCACCAAACTTAATGAATTTCCTGGTTAAGCAAGAAGATATACTGCGTAATGTGAAAAGAAAAATTACAGCCTAGCTGAGTTACTATTGCACAGTATCAATTATAGCATAAGCCCCGTGCTATATGGGCATCACAAGTAATTTCATTGTAGCTAATAAGAACTTACTAAGCTTATTGATAGTTGCATCTTATAAATCATTTAGATGGATGTGTTGGTAGAGAACAAAATAATTTCATGGATATCTTTACATGCAATAAATTTAGGCATTTAAAAACTATAGACCATCAAAATTGGAAAAGGTATCTAGTTGTCAGTGAAGTGTAGAACACTTTCAAGCTTGAGAAAAACTTTCTATTTCTTTTAATTATGACAACTTTTTGTAAATTTTATCTTCAAACGCTATTTAATTTTTTTTTTTAACTGACCAAACTGTTGTACAGATTTAAATTCTTTATCATTTGCATGAGAGAGAGAGGAATCCAAGTTCACATCTCCAGTTTCTCTCTCTCTCTCTCTCTCTCTTTTTTGTTTTTTTTGGGTTTTATGTTTCTTCTTTTAACTTTTCTGGTCCAGTTACTGCATCTCATGGAAAATGAAGCTTTCAAAATTCTGATTGGATGCAATACTGATTCATTTCAAACTCATACATTTTGATTTAAATCATAATGTATCTTCATAGAACGCTTCTGCTGGTATACTGTGGTTATTCTAGAACGACTTGTTGGCGGACTACCCAGCAATACTTTCTCATTTCTTCCATGACTGGGAGACCAAGATAAAATGGGGTAATAAGAAGCAAAGCCCTGCATTTGTGGATAGATTTAAATGCACTAGTTTGTTGATACAAATGTGGATGTGACAATGTAAAAAGCGATGTTCACAATGACAAATCTTTTACTGCTGGATTTCAGATTGTCCATCACAGTCTTTCAGGAGTTGCTGTAGCATATTCTGTCTTTACTGGGGAGGGGCAGCTTTATACATTCATGGTCCTCATATCAGAAATGACTACCCCAGAAATCAACATGAGATGGTAGGTTCATTTGAGACAAGTATAGCGATTATTAATTGTTGTATCATGCCTTTGCATGTTGTATTTGATGATTATATGTAACTTTGGGCAGGCATCTTGATATTTCTGGATTGAAGAGGTCCAATGCCTACCTAATTAACGGTGTCTTTATTTTTTTTGGCTGGCTGGTAAGTGGTTCCATTTAGTTGTTTCCCTTTGGATTGATTATAGGCTTAACTCTTCGTTATTCTAAACTTATGCAGTTGAGCACTTTTTACCGAACATGACATTGGAAAGTTAATCAAAATGGTCACATGTCATGTAATTCATGAGTTGATCCACAAATTGCAGTCTTTCTGTATAAAGAAAACTTTTTAGCAATTATTGCTTCAGCAAAAATATTAATAACATCACTTAATGAACTTAATTTCATTTTTCGTATTTTATTTTTGACATTTCTTTTCTAAGTAATTTTGTATATATTATTGTTGTTCTTTGATAAATTAAGAATTTTTTAATGCAGATGGCAAGGATTTTGTTGTTTGTTTACATGTTTCACCATGTTTACATTCACTATAGTCAGGTACATCCACGATTACTTTGCAGTCAAATTCAACCAACTTGTTCTGGCATTCTAATCTTTTGCCACTTGGTTTGTAAGGGAGGCATGTTTATCAGCTGTTCTTTCTAGTAGAAAATTGTTTACTCAGTCTCTTACATATGCTAATAGTAGTAGCTTCTCAGAAGAGGAATAACTATAATGGTAATGTCAACTTGGAAAACATTTTATCTAAAGGAAGGACCAAGATTGACATTTAACCAAATTGTTGTTCAATTACACAGCTTATTATTAGAGTAGTCTATTAACAATTCCATTCATGGGAAGACATTTTGCTATGTGATTGAATTGTACAGATTCATAAGCATCCCTGTGCTTAGATGGCTTAGGTGTGGTCGTATTCTTAATGCTTTGAGCTTCTATATAATTATTGTGATATTCAGGTGAGACGTGTGTACAAGTCACAGATGATTAGTTGGAAAATGTGCCCGTACCTAGAACTTCAAAAGCATGTAAAGATAAGAACTAAAGAATTTTTCATAATTTGTTCTGTCTAAGCCAACTGGTGGGGAAAGATGTCCTACGGAAGAGTAGTGGTGAAGCTGCTATGAATTCTGTCTTGAGCATTCCTTTATTACCCGGTTAATACAAGAAAGTGTTAGGTACTTACATATGGAACAAGGGTGGCCATAGAAATACATAGGTTTCTTACTTGTGCAGAAGAACTATTTCTTGGCAACTTGAGCAACAATAAAAAATTAAGTGTGTTTTTATGCAACAAACCTCACAATTATATGCATAAAACATAAATGTATGTTTAAATATATATTGCATAACATCAACATTTCATTGTAATGAGAATGGCATTTGACAAGAAGTCCTCATGCTAGATGAGGAATGTCTCTGATTCCATCTCTGAACATCTCTTTTATTATCCTTTAAAATGAGAATGAGGCTCGTTTGTGTTTGTAGAAATGTTCTACTGCATTATGTAGGGAGCATTTAAGTTCCATTTCAGTTTGTCAATTTATTCTCTTTCTGCCGCTGAACCATGCTAGGCGTCTTACGTAAATTTCATGCACGTTATATTATATGCCATATGCTTTATGGATCTGTCAGTGGAACAATTTCAGGTAATGCACAAGTTCTTGACTACTTGCAGGTCATCCAGATGCATTCAGTTGGTTATTTTCTAGTATTTGTCGTGCCTTGCGCTCTTTCTATCATGAATTTGATGTGGTTTGGTAAAATTATCAAGGGGCTCGTAAAAATGTTAGCAAAGAAGCAGTGAGGAACAGTAATACTCTGATTTCTTCTATTACCACGGTCAAATTTTTTCCTCGAGTTCCTACTTGTACAAATCTATAGGAGAATGCCCGCAGAATATAGGGAGAGAGAGTCGAATGAGCCTAACAAGAAGCTAGAAGAAACATCGAAGCACAACAGTATTGCAGACTCATGCATGCTAGGATGTTGTTATGTGGATGGTGAACCAATGAGTCCTGGGAACTCTAATGCACAGCACTAATCTTGTAAGCTTAGCTGGTTTAGGTAACTGCAGTTCATGTACTGGACCAGAGGAGGGAAACTTTTTCAATGGAAAAGTTCGATGCAAGAGAAGGAATATAGTGAGATAGCTTTCTTGTTCTTGTTTTTTGTCTGTATATCTTTATTCTTCGGTTAATATCTTAAAATCATGGAAGCAGGAGCCTCTGGTTCTTTCATATCTTCTGCTATTTCATTTCATTTTTGCTCTTTCTTACGCCCGCCCTAGGCACAGACTGTGTACTAATTGATGGTGTTGAACATCGTTTACTCTCATCTATACCTGTTTATCATTTGGAAAAATTGCCAATTTGGTCCCTCACATTTAAAAAAAAAAAACTATTTTTAGTCCCTCATGTTTAAAATTAGCCAAAATAATCTCTCAATATTAACATTTTAACTGTTTGTTGTAAGAGCTCATTTTTGCTTAATTTTCTAGCCAAAAAACGCGTCATGTGCCCATAATTGTCGAAGCAAAATAGAATACTTGATTTCTATTTCAATTGTAAGTGTAACCAACCTGTTATTAAGAATATGTCAAAAAGAAATAATAGAAAAAGAGCTTCTATATATATTGGTGCATAAAACCAATTGTTTACCATCACTAATTAACACTGGAATAAGTGTATTTACTGGGCTAAGAGTATCACCTTGAGTAAAAGCTTCCATAGTTAGTCGGCCAAATTCCCAAATTGCACGAGCAACGGGACTTACGTGCAACGAGTTTGATGGATGAAAAATTGAGGGAAAAGGAAGGTTTTTTTTTTTGTATTTTTGTGAAAGGAAACAAATTTTGTTCCCATTTTGGCCTTCAAATTATGGACTTGTGAGGTAGGCGCAAGTTTTTTGGCCCGAAAACTGAGTACAATGAGCTTTGTAACCAAATGCGCAAAATTTTTATATCTTGGGGACTATTTTGACTTATTTTAAATATGAGAGACTAAAAAAGTATTTCTTGAAAATGTGAAGGACCAATTCGATAATTTTCTCTTATCATTTCTATATATATATATTTTTAAATGTAAGCAGCGTGACTTCGAATACGAAACTTCTCACTCACAATCCTTTCCCTGAACCTCTCTCTCTCTCTAACCGAGACTTACCACAAGAAAACCTCACAAGCGGATGAAAAGGATGCGTTGCTTGAGTCAACAAGTGTGAGAATTGCTTATAACCTGTGCATTTTTTTCCCCCTGCAAAGAGTTTCAATGAGCTTTGCCATTATATATCCTTGCCAATAAATTTGAGATCATAAAGTTACAGTTGGTTCCCAAAGGGGTTTTCACTCAATTGTTTCCCAAAGTCTGCCTAAGAAAGTAAATAAATTAGAAGAAATGAATTGGTTGTGTAGTCCTAAAAGCTTTGAAAAGCCATGGAACAGCATTTTTTTTTTTTTTTGTTAAGGATATTACCAATAAACCATTTCTTTGCCATGAACTGATCTTGAAGCTGGCACTTATAGATTACAGTTTTAAGGACAATCCAAACAGTTTTAGAATTTAGATTGAAGAACTCTTCTATAAGTTAACAAAACCAATGTAATGTTCTCCCATGAAGGAAATGAATTTTCTGTGCTTGGCTCTGAATTTTTGCACTGGTTGAGGAGGATTTTACCGTGCAAGAAGAATTTGAATTTTTAAAATGGTAAGATTAATTTTAAAAAAATGTATAAAACAGGGTAATAATTATTAATATGTATATGCCCCGTAAGCACCCAATTTAAAAAAAAAAAAAATCCTTGTTACAATAGTTTGAGGTCAGTTTGGCGGAGACACACAAACTAAGGAAACCTAGAGTTACAAACAATTGAATAACAAATAAAAAAAAAAATAAAAAGAGGAAACCTAGAGTTGTCATTTCATACTAAATAAAAATCTCTTTTTAAAAGATTCGTATTGAAAAACGAAAATAAAAAGATTCCCAATTACAATTCTTATCACTACTGCGTTAGCTGTAATGTGCTGAAGGTTGACCCTATCGCATGCAAAAATATGCAATTCCAATATAGAATTTGACCGCTTTAATTTACGATTGAATACTTTGTGAAAAGGGGCCTTAGATGATATCATCCTTTCTTCTTTCCTTCCATGTACTTCAACAATCCAACACTGAGGTGCACAACTTGAAAAAGGCGAGTCCAATCCTTTCCTTATTACCTTTTCTTTTTCACTCTTTTTTTTTTTCAAAAAAGAAAAAAAAAAGGTTCAGGTCCGTCAAACCCACAACAAGCAGGCTTCATAGCAGAAAAGATCCACTTTGTAATATAATATAAATAGGATACAATGAAAAGTCAAACACAGTACTACTGGTCTTTAGGGGAAGCAAAATCCAAGTATCTCCTCCAACAAGCAACAGGCAACAGCAGCATGGTCTCTGTTTGCCCTGTGTTAGACCGTCGTTAAACCCTGTTTCAGATATATATATCTCCATATTAACAAACATAGAACCCAGAATAGAGCGAAAGATTCCAGAAAGAAAGAGAAAATTCACGCACCAGTCACGCAGAGAACGATTGGCAAGGATGATTATGGTGAATCCAATGAAGAAGAGGGCGACTGACAACTGCTTGAGTGGGGGATCGAGGGTCATCCGGATGGCCAAGAGCAGCGAAACAGCACAGAAGAAAACTGCAACGTGCTCCATGACACGAGATGATCTGGGGTGATGCCTACGTATGTAAGCAGACACCAACATAGCTAAGAAGGCCATCTCAAAAGCCACGCAGAGCCAGGGAAAGGTTGAAGCAGCCGGCAGAGTTGCACGAATTTGGAGGGCTTGCAAGACGACGCTAATGGCTGCAAAACATGTTCCAATGACCAGCAAAGCCCATTGCATGTTCGTCACGTTACCAATCTGGATGCGACGATCATGATCATTATTATCGGGCTGCTGCTGCTGCACCTGCTCCTCTGTTTCGGAGGATACTGTGCCAGGCAGCTCGAGTCGGTGGGTGGGTAACTCTGAAGGAATTGACCTGTCCTTCCTCCATAGCGGGAGCTGCTTGGCGAGCCCAATCAAGGTGAAGAAGAAGCGGACGGCTGCAAGCTTGAATTTTCCCCACATTTCTGTTTCCCTTACTTTGGTGCCGGAAGAAACTTGCGGATGGGGCTTTTATAAGAAACTTGCGGATGGGGTTTTTCTGTATGTCCAGTTGTTCACTGGACAATACTCACTGTAGTGGAATGATCAATGATGTAAAATGAAAAGGGGCCCGCTCAGGTCATATTCTTTGCTTGCATCATTCTTTTAGTCCATGTTTGGATGATGTCAGGGGCGGATTTACAGTGGGGCCGGTCGGATTTGGGTCAACCCGTCAGAAAATCTGTTGACCCGAACCCGACCCGTCAACCCGTGACGAGTCAGGTATGCTGACCCGAACCCAAAAATTTTAGGTTGAAGGGTTGGCAGGTCGACCCGAAATGACCCGAAACTTAATTTTAATTTATTAATTTATCACTGTAATTTCTAATAAAATCAATTTCTCACAAAACTAATTACATAATCAAGTAATAAAAATTTAAATAAATAATTCCAAACCAAATCTAAAATAAATTAAACACCATAAAAGTGTTTTATCCCAAACAAAATATAAAATAAATTAAAACAGTATAAAAGTAAAAATAATAAAATATATTATTTGTCCAAATATAATATTTCAACTTCACACAAATTAAATAAATTCATTTAGGATTAAGTAATTAATGCCTTTAAAAAAAGAATAACTTAGTTTAGTTAGATAGAATTATTTTTATGTTTATTAAATTATTTTTTAATTCGTAAACGGGTCATATCGAGTCATATCAGGGCACCACGGGTTGACCCGAAATCGACTTGTTTTCTTTTCGGATTTATCGGGTCCAACCCGATTCTGACCCGAATTCCCGAAACCTCAACCCAAACCCATTAATTTCGTGTTAGGTTCGTGTCGTGTTTTCAGGTCGTGTCAAAAACTGCCACCCCTAACCGGAGGCAAGGCCCTAGTGGCCCCTTAAATTTCTATAATATTTATAAAAATTTGATATAATTTTAAATGTGTCCCTGGAGTTTTATTTATCTGTTGATTTATATACTTTTAAAGTTACCTTTGATTTTATCTGTTATTACAGCTACCGAAGAAAGAGTTTTTTCAATTATAAATATAGTGAAGAATCGATTACAAAATAGAATGGAAGACAGTTGATGAATAATTGTTAATTTACTTATATTGAGAAAAATATACTTTATAAAATTCAAAATGAAAAGGTTATAAATCGTTATCAAAATATGAAAACTCGTCATGAGCAATTGTAAATAGTTTAATTTGTTTTTTGAAATAAAATTATTATTATATTAATAATTTTGACTTTGTCTTTTTATATTTTTCATGAAATATATGCATCATTTGTATTTGTTGGTGAATATTTTTTTCTTTAAAAACTAGAAAAAAAAATAGATAAAAAATTTTAAAGTTACTTTTGTCCCTGCTAAAAAATTTTTCTGACTCCGTCCCTGTTTCTGTCATGAGTAATGAAAGAAATCCAAAACTGGCCGCAAATGAAAAAAAAAATCCCATCTCCCAAACTGTCCCCACTAAAAAATTTTTCTGACCCCGCCCTGTTTCTGTCACGAGTAATCTCATCTCCCAACCTGGCCGCAAATGAAAGAAAAATCCCATCTCCCAAACTGGCCATAAAAGAACGGGCCATAAAAAAAAAAATAAAAAAAACTGGCCATAAAAGGTCCCACATACTTTTCTTTTTCTACCGAATCCCATCTAGCCAGTAGCCACCAAGATTCCCATGCACGCACAAGAATCCGAATCCCATAAAAGAATGCTCGCTCGGTGAGTATAATGTTGTAAGCATAGTTATTAAACCCGATCCGGTTCGGCGGTCGAATCGGTCAAATCGGTGAACCGGCTATTAGGTCGGGCCGAGTCTTAAATTGGATCGTTTGAACAACGGAATCGTTGACTAGTCAACGGCCAGGCGGTCGGACCGGGCTAAATCGGAAACCCGGCCAATTTTGTCCACGGACCAGTTTTGGTGGAAAAATTTTATTGCATTTGTCAAGGCTTGAACCTGGACCTCCACCAATCACTAACGTATGCTTACCACTAGGCAGCTCCGAAATTTTTTAATAAACGGTATTTATTATAATATATATATATGTTTTTTCAATTCTATCTTTTTTTTCTCTAAAATAAATTTATTTGAAATTTTTTAATAAAAATTAGTACCCTCCAAACTCTATAATTTATAAAATGAATTTCAAAAATAACACATTACATAATTCATTTCAAA